AAGGAAACATTCTCCTCTAGAAGCTCCAGAAAGAAATACAGCCCTGCTGATACCTGGATTATAGCCCAGTGAGGCTCGTGTCAGAATTATCTACAGAACTTTAAAATACGTGTGCTGTTTAAGCCACTACATTGGTGGTAATTTATTATGGCAGCAAGCAAAAATAGAGGTCCACCCAGGGAAAGTAAGTAAAGACAGAAATAAGCCACAGGTATCTGGGGACACCAATGTTTCAGAAGAGAGGAGAGAAAAAGAAGTCAGACAAGGAGACAAAGGAGGCACCAAAAAGAGGGAGAGCCAGAAGGGACCAAGAAAGGATAAATTTCCAAGGAGAAAGTGATCCAGAGATTTAAACTGTCTACTGTTTAAAGTGACGGCTAGAGTTAAACTTTTAAAGTGTGTGTTATTTCTTTGCTTCATTTTTCCTGTGACATCTGCATATAACAAACAGCCTCTTTCACCTGAAAACTATCACCTCCTCCCTTCACATTCAAGGCTGAGAACTTTAACAACCTCAATCCACATGTTATAAACCCATCAAGGCAATATTCAGGTTCCAGAACAGCAGGTTTTACCACATCGTAAGCCAGAAAGAAATGCAGCTACTTTTATGTGTTAATCCAAGTTATGTGACTCTAGGGTACAGCCTAAACCAAGAGAGAGAACAGCTAGAGACTGGCTTGACAGTGGCAAGAGACAAAAATGAGGAAAAGGGACCATTTTAGGCAATATGCTTGACAGAGACAGCCAGTCCTGATGTGCCTTACAGCCCCCAACACCTCCTTTTAATCTCTAAGGTGCTGTCCTACTCCTCAGATTCAAAGGCTCCATCCAGACTACCCCATCCTGGATATCTGAGGTCCAAAATTATTGCTCCTCAGTACAATATTCACTGTCTTAGGCTGGATTCTGTAGAGAAGCAAAATCAGTGAAGCTTTTATATACGTATATATAGAAGGGGGCGGAATTTATCTCAAGGAAATGGCTCACACAGTTGTAGTGGCTGCAAGTCCCAAGTCCTTGGGTCAGACACCAAGCTGGAGGCTTCTGACTCACGTAGTTGTAGAAGCTGACAAACTCAAGGTAATAGAGCAATACAGCAGGATACTGGTTTCAGGGACTGACTAATCCAAGATAAGCAGATAAAATGGCAGACTGTTGGCGCAGAGGCTGCAAAGGCAACAATCCCAAGATCTGCAGGCAATATGGCAGCCACTGGTTCAAGTCCAGGAACTAGAGATGATGATGAGCCAGATGCAGGATCCAGATAAGCAGAAAGCTAGAGATTTTTGCAGGATGTCCACATATATTGGAAGCAGGCCACACCTGAAGGAAACTCTCTTCAACTGACTGACTGCTCATAGCAGATATCATGAAGTGATTACATTGTATCATCATAACTGCTAAACCACTTAGAATCATGGCCCAATCAAGTTGACACACAACCTTAACTATCACATTTCTCTACAGAAGATCTCAGCCACGAATTTGGAAAATGGCCCACCTCATTCTCACAGAGGCCTTGGTATATGACTTTTCTCTCTGCCTAAGTACTGCACCCCATTCACCCTTCAGAATTCAGAAGTTGTCAGAAGCAGGGAGGAGGGCACCTGTCTTTCTTAGGAAAGCTGTCCCAGATTACGCTGACTCATCTTGTTATAGCCCCAATTTGACACACCCCGTATTTCTACTTTTGAAAGGTACATCATACCTGCAATTACTTATTCAGTGTCTACAGCCTTTTCCATTAGATCACAAGGTCTGTGAGGGAAAGGCAAAGCCTGCCTTCTGTCAATGGTCACTGTTACTTCTTGGCACCTGTTATCTGACAGATACTCATAAATATTTGTTGATGAATCAATAAATGAATGAAGAGTGGGGACCAGTGCTCTGACTCTAGAATTACAGGTGATTTCTACATTAGTGGTTCATGGAAACATAAATAAGAATTAACATTTGGGCTTCCCAAACTAAAAGACTAAACCATCAAGTTTCCTAAACATATCAAATACCCTAGGATCTCTGCTGGTGTAGTGCCTAAGGCACTTGACTGCTAACCAGAAGGCTGGTGCTTCAAACCTACCAGCCACTCCTCAGAAGGAAGGTTGGGCAATCTACTTCTGTAGTGATACTGCCTTGGAAACCCAAGGAGGGGTCGCTATGAGTTGGGTCTGACTCAACGGCAAATAACAACAACATCAAATACCCTTTATCCCTGGTTTCCTCCCAAGTCTGAAGCAGCAAACAAGCACAAGAACAAGTGGGATGCCATCCACTTGGAAGGGATGTAGGAGATCCTGCATAAAGAGGGAGAACAATGTGGTACAAAACTCAAAATCATTTGGAGGCAAAAAAAAAAGGTGGGGACCAGGTTTGCTGGTCCAATAGAGCCTGGTGTAACCACTGAGACTATGGCCCCTAGCTGCCCTTCAGGTTTGGAATTGAACTCACAACTGTGGTTTCCAGCCAAACAAAGTACAGGCATGTGAGTTAAACATTTACCTCAAGTAGACACACGCCCTGGAGAGAACAATCATGGGAGAAGGAAGGGCTGCTTATGCACAGAGAGATAGCTCAGGGTGCAGAAGAGTATGAAGGGATGGACACTGGGAGGAGGTAACTATGGTGAGGAAGTGGGAGGGGAGCTGCTGCATTGTAAATTTTGGTCAATGACATGAGACAAAGTATATGTGAACTGCTGTATGAAAAGTGAATTTACTCTGTAAATCTTCACCCAAATCCTAATTAAAAAAAAAAAAAAAGAACAAGTGGGAGAGATTTTCAACAAAAATGCTAAGACAATTCAATGAGGGAAAAGAATGGTCTTTTCAACAAATGGTACTGGAACAACTGGGTACCTATAAACAAAAGAATGAAGTTGCAACCTCTTCCTTACATCACACACAAAAACAAACTCAAACTGGATCAGAGACCTAAATGTAAGAACTAAAACTATAAAACTCTTAGAAGAAAGCGTAAGTATCAATCTTGTGACCCTGGGTTATTCAAAGCCTTCTTAGACATACTAAAAACACAAGTGGCAAAATAAATAAATTGTACTTCATCAAAATTAAGATTTATGTTTCAAAGGACACTATGAAGAAAGTGAGAAGGCATCATACACAATGGAAGAAAAATATTTGTCTATCATTCAACTGATAAAGAACTCTTCAAAAATGGGCAAAAATTTGAACAAACATTTTTCCAAAGACATACATAAGCACATGAAAAGATGTTCAACATCATTAGCCACCAGGGAAATGCAAATCAAAACCACAATGAGATACTACTTCACATCCACTAGAATGGCTACAATAAAAATGACTAGGTATTCATGAGGCTGTGGAGAAATTGGAATCCTTATACATTGATGAATGGTAAAATGTAAAATGGTGCAACCATTTTGAAAAACAGTTTAGCAGTTCCTCAAACTACTAAACAGAGAGTTACCATCTGACCCAACAATTCCAATCCTAGGTATATACCCAAGAGAGATGAAAATGTATGTCCACATAAGAACTCAAACACAAATGTTCATAGCAGCATTATTCATAATAGTGAAAAAGTGGATAAACAGATAAACAAAATGTGGTATATCCACACAACGAAGTATTAGTCAGCCATAAAAAGAAATGAAGTATTGGTCCACGCTACAACAAGGATGAACCTTGAAAACACTGTAATCAGCAAAAGGAACCAGTCACAAAAGACCATATGAGATACAATTCCGTTTATATGAAATGTCCAGAAAAGGCAAAACTAGACACAGAAAGTAGATTAATGGTTCCCTGTGTGTGTTTGTGTGTGTGAGAGAGAGAGAGAGAGACTTAGGGGAAATGGGGAATGACTGAACAGGGTTTTTTTTGAAACAATGAAAGTGTTTTGGAATTGATAGTAGAGATGGTCACACAACCCCTGCAGACATACTAAAAACCACTGAAATGAATTTCATATTTTAAATGGGTAAATCTTATGGTCAAAAAAAAAAAAAAACCACAAACTCACTGCTGTCGAGTGGTTTCCAATTCACAGAGACCACACTCTTTGGGTTTCTGAGGCAGTATCTCTACAGAAGTAGGTTGGCTAGTTATAACGTTTTTTTTTTTTTTTTAAAAAACAAAAGGACAAAGAAACCACTGTATTTTTATTTCAAAACATTTGTTAGAAACCAATCTCACACTCATTTTCCCAAAGCAGAAAAGAAAAAAAAAGGTTTCTGTCTTCTGAGACACTTAGTCCCAAGCACATTCATGCTCCTGTGTGCCAGCACCCCTGTCAAGGGCTTAGTGTAGGAACTCTTCTCCCATGAATTGTAGGCCTGCAGGTTTCTTGGAATGGAGAACTTCAATTCCACAGAGCCATGTGCTTTTTTCCCTTAATAATAATACATTGTCCTTGAAGCTCGAGAGGAGCACACACAAAAAATATTGTTCTTTCTAGCATTGGCAGATTTACCCCTTTAAAATCAACTGGAACTCATCAGCTAAATTATTTAGAGCAGACCAGAGTGTCAGCTGACCAAACCATAAATGTTATATGGTGAACTTTTGGGCTCTTGATTATCCCCTCCTTTCCTTTCGGCTAGGTTCTTCAGGTCTAGGACAAAGGACTAAATCTGTCTCCCCACCCTCAACTTCCATATCAAGAGTTGGAGGATGTGGAGCGATAAAGATTCCTGGAGTTTGGGTTGCTTCCTGGCTCTGAGCTCACACTTGAGCCCTCACTGGTTCCTAAGCCACTTTCTATCCCTCCTTTTTGCTCTTGGTGGGGCTTGGCGGCCCTCCACCTGGGATCAATTCCTGGCCTGGCACAGGAGAGGGAACAAGTGAATACATCAGAGTCTTGTTGGCTAAGAGCTCAGGAAGAAAAGCTAAGACTTTTCTCCGGTGAAAACTACTAGTCTAGAGGGGCATTCAGAGCAGGCAGGCACCAATAGATACATGCTGAAATGAATGGGACAAATGGAATGGAAAAGTAAGTTAAACCAAGAAACTTTAGGAAAAGTTGGGTGGGTAAATGGACATTGTTCTAGCTTCACAAAATCGGAGAGCCCAGATCACAGCCAGAACTTCATGGCATTGGTCACAGATTCTTTAAAAAGGTATTTACCTATAGAAAGAGAAAAACCAAAAGTTAAATTTCACATTTCAGCAGACTATTCAACAGTTATTGACAATGTATATGGAGCCAAGCCCAGGAGGGTTTTGTGAGGAAGGGAAAATAGTATGGCAAGGAAAAGTGATCTGCCTAAAGTCACAGAATAGCAAGTGACAGCTGGGAAGAGAATCCAGATGTCTCATTTTCCTACTTCTAGTATACCTTAAAAGAGGAGCTTAGCTGGGAAGCACATTACAAGTCCATTATTTAATAATTACTGCCTCAAAATACTTTTAGGGAATTGGGATTTTATCTGTAACTTGTGTAAGATCCCACATGCTTTGAGTGTGAAATGAAACTTGAGGTACAAAGCACTCTACCCATCAGCTTGAAGTTTGACACAGAGGCCAGAAAGGTTAAAGTACAACCAGAAAAAAGAAAACCATCAGAAAGCGGGAGGTAAGATCCTTTCCACCTTTCTCATGAGCTCCTCTTGTTTGGCTCCTTCTTCAGAAAAATCATCGTTGACATCCAACACGAGCACTGGAATGTTCAGCAGAGCCTCAGAGTGGAGTCTGTAGAAACGTGAACGTTGGAGGGATAGAAAGGAGAAAAGAAACCCAAGCCAAGCTTCACACACTCAGCAAGCCTCAGTATCTCAGAGAACAGATCTGAATTCACAGGGTTTCTCAATGAAATTGCATGTAAATGCCATTAAAAAAATTTTTAAATCACTAAAGTTGGCTGAAAAGAGGAAGACTTGAGACTTCTCTTTGGTCTTAAGCTTTGAAGGTCAGAGCTCCAAACATTTTAAGTGGACCATATACCAAACCTGAATGGGAGAAAAGGAATGTCAACGTAGTAAAATTGACAATCTAAAATTTTTCAGCCCTTCACTGTGTACCAACAGTCATCATCACTAATCACAATGGTCAATCTAGGAAAATGTGTGTGTGTGTGGAGGGGGAGCTGAAAAACAGAATCTAACAAAAAGTTCCTTTAGATACAAGATTACAGCCAACATTAAACTTCTGGGCTGGAAAATAATTGACACTTCCCAACTATTTCTAGTATATTTTGCACCTTTTTATGGGGATGCATGTTAAACTCAACATGCAGAAAGGCTGTAGGAGAGGCAGGTCTCTAGTACTGCTCTTTTCTCCACTTACTTGGTTGTCTTGTGAACAAGCCAGGCTTCATGCTGACCATGAAGCTGCTCCAGATAAGCCAGCTCAATTCCTTTCTCTTCTGCCCTTGCCCTCTGGTGTAGTCTCTCCAAACAAACCTAAAAGACATTCCCCAAACCCTGTTGAGCTCATTTTGCTATTTTGGCTGTTAAAACATAGTCTTGAGGGACTCTTAGACCCACTCATGATGTCTATCTTGGGCACAACAAACCATGGCTTTGCTTCTGCTATCTAGGTTTCTTATTTAATCAGAGGAAATTATTCACTGTTCTGACGCCATCATTTTCTCTGCTTTAACCCTGCTTTCTCTGAAGCATCCTAAGATGGCTAATAGCAAAAGTCATCCACCCAAACATCTAAGCTGGGAATCTAGAATTACCCTTCTTTTCCCTCCTAACCATATCCAGAAAGTAACTAGATTCTCTTTAATCTCCTTCCACTTGGTTCCCTCCTTGCCACTTGTGGTAGTTAAGTTTGTGTGTCAACATGGCTAGGCTTGGTTGAATGGCTGGGCAGTTGGATGTAGTAATTCCCCATGATGAGATTGGTAATCAACTCCATGGTGGAAACTACTGTGAGCAGCTGAGTAGCTGCCTTAGGGATGTGGTCTGCTTCCTGCATATAAGGAGAAGCCTTGGGGAATGGTCTCTAGCTTATGGCACGCTTGGACCCTGCATGTATCTGTGTCGTGTTCAGCAGCCTGCCATGCTCTGCCGACCTTGGGACTTTCAATGGACTTAAATTAATGGCCTGCCATGTGTTTTGGTAACATCAGGACTGTGCCATTTTATTTGTCCACCTTGGGCTTGTTAGCCTCAGCAGCCAGTAGCTGCCTAAGTGAAGAGCTGTCTCTTGCTTCAGTGGGCTGGGAGCAAGAGGCAGAGCTGAAGCCCAAGGTCAAGGGGCTTTCACACGCCCCTAGAGCTGGGTACTTTGAACTCCGACTTACAGCCTCCAAACTGTAAGAGAATAAACTGCTGTTTGTTAAGGCCATCCCATTTGTGGTATTTCTCTTAAAGTGGTACTAGGTAACCAGAACACTGCTCCTCCCACCTCTACTCAGTCTGGGCCTGGTAACTCCCACCTGGACCATAGCAAGAGCTTGGCACACACTCTGGCCCCTGGAGGAGGCCAAGTGTAGTGAAAAGAACATAGGCCTTCAAGTCAGAGGGTCCAGATTAAAACTTGTGTCCACCATGTACTAGCTCTAATCTTCATACTCACCAGGGCTCTACACTGGGGTGTTGGCCACTTGCACAGTTGTTTACATAGTGATGCTTTCATTTCTGTTCTGCTTTTCTCTGGGATGTAAACCAAAAACCCACTGCCATCAAGTCAATTCTGACTCACAGCAACCCCACAGGACAGAGCAGAACAGCTCCCATAGGGTTTCTAAGCTTATAAATCTTTAAGGAAGCAGACTGCCTCATCTTTCTCCTGTGGAATGCCTGGTAGGTTTGAACATCAACATCAGAAGCCAAATACTTTAACCACACTACTACCAGGGCATCCCTTGGGTATACCAAAATCAAACCCACTTCCTTCAAGTCTATTCCAACTTACAGTGATCCCCACAGGGTTTCCAAGGCTGTACATCTTTATGGAAGCAGACTGCCTCATCTTTCTCCTGGAGAACAGCTGGTGGGTTTGAACTATGGACCTTTTTTGTTAGCAGCTGAATGCTTTATGCACTATACCACCAGAGTGCCTTATCCCTTGGGTATAGTTACTTCTATATCTCACAGAAGAGGACAGGGGTGATGTCAGAGAAGGAAATGGGCACTCCAGCATCCCTGGCTCTAATGTTATCAAAATAGCACTAAAATCCCCATCTAAGTCTAAAATATATATACTACTTTTCTTTTTCTCCTATTATTCCCCAGATAAAATAATTCAATCTGTCTAAAAAGATGTATCAGCTCCCTCATAATAAAAATAATAATCACCACCACCACCATCACCTTATCCCCTTCTCACAAACTCATTCGGTGTGCATAAAGAAGAAAAGTGAGGAAGACTTTCTTGTCTTTCTTGCTGGGTCCCAGTGTCTGTGTTCAACCTTACCTCTCCCAGACATAAGAGCCTCTGCAGCTGGCCAAGCAGCCCTTTTTCCTCCCAGGAATTAGTCCCTTGTTCCTCCCCCATCCTGTCTTCATGGCACAGAGTTGATTATGTTGCAGTTCTGTGTCCCTTAGAAAAGGAGAGGTCAGCACTCTCAGCTCTTTTCCTCTGCCTCAGGCACAGTGAGTGATTCCTTCAGTCTAGTGATTCCTTCACCCCAACCATCTCATGACTCTTACTGGGAACCTGTCACCTCTTCAAATACTAAACAGAATCTTCACTTGGTTCAACTCCAGTCCTCCCGCTCCTCTCTGACCAGATTATAAGCCCTCCTGGGTGGCCAGGAGTTCTCTCTCACCTTGAACCCTACATTCAGCTTCTTCAAGCTCATTCTCTTTGGCAAAGGACTCCTCTTCCCCTCACCACTGACATAGGCCCCCATTTCTAAATTATAATCACTTTCATAAGTAACCTCTTCTATTCCTGCTCCCAGTCAATGCATTCTAGTAAAAGAAGTTGCATAAATGTGCCCCAGCCAGTCCACTCGCAATTCATGCATCTAACTTCAGCTCGGCCTTTTCATTGAAGGAGCTCAGTTCTCTGAATCTTAAATTCAGTTTTGTGTTTTACCTTAGGCCCCATTTACTCTTCTGACATTCTTAGTTTTATGGAATCTTCTTATTTCCTCCTACAATTTAGCGTCAGCCCTACAATCACCAGAAACTGTCAACACAAAGACTCCTAGTATCTGTCCCAGTTACAGTCAAGGTACTTTCTCCCAGCAACATCCTGCTTGATGCAAGGTCTTCTTTCCAACCCTCTCCTCTTTGGCTTCTGAAGCCTATGTGATGGGGGGTCTCCTACTCATTTTCTCATCTTGCTGTCTACTCTCAGGCTCCCTCCTACCTGCAAGGCTCAGTTCCACCTCTAAAATGCATGATCTCTAACCTAAAGAGAGCTTTCCCTCCTTCTAAGCATATGTGGTACATCTGGCATTTGACTATACACAAGCATAGATTTCTCTCTCTCTCTCTCTCACACACACACACAACCTTCTTGTCTTGACTGAGAATTCCACTCTATCAGAGTCCTTAGAGATCACGAGTCTGAGCCAATGTAGTTCACAGACAAGGACCCCTGCAGTGGAAAGGCTTTCAGGGGCTGCCAAGGTCACTACCATTCAGCAGAGGCCAAGACCACTGCTGTCTCCAGAGACATCAGTGCCCTTTCCACTTCCTATTGAGTGCTGGCCTAGCTCCAAAGTCTGGGTCTGAGAGTCACAGAATGCAACTTCTGTAGTGTAGCCTGCCTCGCCAGCAGCATCCTTGATTCAAAAAGGGGCCATTTAGGGCAGTATCCAGATGAGGTGAGGAAATCCTCCTTCTCTTCCTCCCCACATCCTTTTCAGAAAACCATCCACACCAGCTGAGACTCGGATGACTCAGTTAGAGGTAAGGAAAAACCCAGGGAACTGCCTACAGGCACCCAGTCATAGAGTCCAGCCTGCCAACCCTGGATGATAAAAATAACACCTGATTTGCTTGGGTTGTTGGTACCTCAAGAGGGACCCTATCTATGCAAAGGGAATTGCTTTAGCACTTTGCTGCACAAAGCCTATGGGAAGCAGGGTGCTCAATGCTAGAACAGTATGTTGTTCACCTATTGCTCTGTAGAATGCCTACATTCTAATTTCTCCAACCAGAAAACCAAGGATTTGGAGAACACCATCTCTTACGTGCCATGTGTCTCTAAAGTCTAAGGCTTTATAGGTTCTATGTTACCTGGGGAGTAGCCTGGAGGTAGATGAAGCCATGTAATCTGAGACGGCTGGCAAACTCCTGAAGGAGAAAAGTATGCCAGTACTGATAGATACGCCATTCGATGTCACTGAGGGAACCATTTTCAAAAAGATTCTTTGCAAAGATATACCTGGTTGGAAACAGAAGTGCAGTGGGAAGGAGGGAGAACGGGGAATGGAATGAAAAGCAAAAGAGAGAAGCAGAAAAATCAATAACCAACTCGTTCCATGTCTGTTCAAACCACTTAACCTTTGTTGCTCCTCGTCAGTTCTTGAGAAATCTGAATTCTTAATCCCCCACCCCTCATCCCTGCACAAAACTAATGTGGGAAATAGCATCTGGGCTAGAGAGGCCTAAATCCCAGCTCTCCAGATGGATTAATTAACTGGAAGAAAAGGAACAATGGAAGATAGTATCACTGGTCCCTACCAATTGTCTCTGATGGAAACTAGTCAGAACATACAGCAAATGGTGCATGTAAACTTGAACTTTTGAGACAACATCATCATCACTATAGCAAGCCCCCAAACAAACAACAAAAGAAGAAGAAGAAAAACAAAAACCAAGTGAACCAGTAAAAAACCACCCACATTTCCTTTCATGTGGACTTCTGAATCTTCAGGTTCGCCGCTAGTTTTTTGTCTTTTGAGAAGTGAAGAATGAACAGTAGTTAAGTGGTGACATCTGTGGAACTAGACTAGCTGTAGCATTACCAAGGAAGCAGCATCTCCTCCAAAGCACACGAGTGCTTATTTGCTTGCTTCCTCTGCTGCTGAGCTTCTCATTCAGATAAAAGAAAGCTATAGCTAAAAATCAAACTAGCTTTGCCCCTTGCTCACTTCTACAACTAAAGAAGCATATGGGATATAGGAAATTGGAGCTAAATGGAAACCATCATTTCAGAAGGGTCCATTCTGCTTATCAACTTCAGGCATCTTGATATAAAACACAATCCACATCCTAAATAAGGAACTCCAGTTTCTAAGTCAACACTCAGTAATTGGCCACTTCTAGGAAAATGAATTTCAGAATCCTATCTGCAACTGGCTCAGGGGAGTGTAGACTGCAAAGCTGCAAGGCCATGAGCATCACGGTTAAGAGAATGGGCTCCAGAGTCACACTCCTGCATCTAACCCTGCCTCCCAAATTCACTAGCTGTGTCATTCTGGGTAAGTCACCTATACTCTCTGCCCATTTCCTCCTCTGTAAAGAGGTAACAGTAGAACTTAACTCATAGAGTTGCTTTGATGACTACATTTTAACATTCATAAAGTGCTTAAAACAGGAACTGGCACACAATGTTCAAGACTTTTTTTTTTTTTTTTTGCTGGGGTATAAAGAAGCTAACTTGGGAGTCCCATAATAAACTTCCAGTCTGGAACGGTTTAGCTATAGCCTAGCTGAAGCCAACTGTAACTCAGGTTCTAAAAAAAGTTTTCAGCTTCTTCAGAGATAACTAACCCAAAACTTGTTGCCACTGAGTCAATTCTGACTCGTAGCAACCCCATAAAACAGAGCAGAGCTGCCCTACATGGTTTCCAAAGCTGTAAGATTTACGGAAGCAGACTATCTCATCTTTCTCCCAAGGAATGTCTAGTGAGTTCAAACTTACTGACCTTTCGGTAAGCAGCCAAGTGCTTAACCACTGTACCAACAGGACTTCTTCGTACACACGCAAACTAAACCCACTGCCATCAAGGCTATTCTGACTTAAAGTGACCCTACAGGACAGAATACAAGTGCCCCACAGGGTTTCCAAGGCTCTAAATCTTTATAGAACCAGACTGTTTCATCTTGTTCCTGCAGAGCACCTGGTAGGTTTGAACCACCAACTCTCAGGCTAGTAGCACAACGCTTTAACCACTATGTCACCAGAGTGTCTTTCATAGGTAACAAGAAGATAAAATTAAAAGTTTTATAAAGAGAAATTAGATCAAAATATTTGTTAATGTACCCTACAAAAGGGGTCCCCCACTTTTCTTGAGAATGACCTGGTAGTAAGGGAGAGAGATGGAGTAGAAGAGTGTGGTACTGAGTGCTAGTGGGGAGGGAACCACTGTGGTCTGGACTCAGGGACTGTAGAGAGGAACAGTGCCTAAAGATCTAAGAGTTGGGGCCCCTACTCTGAAGTCACGAGATATTTTCTTTTACTCAGAAGAGATTTCGATTTCTTCATCCCTGTAATTCACTCCACCAAACAACCTGTGTTCTTCCTTTGGAGCACATGTCTCCATGTGCTCAGTGTCAGTGTTTCCTGTTAGACCAGCATGGCTGTGAAGGCAGGAACTGGTCTTCTGTGTTCACTGACGCATCCCCTGTGCTCTGCACAGTGCCTCAACATAAGAGGTATTCAATACCTCTGTGTTGAACAAGTGAATGAATGAATGCATTTTAAAAATAAGAGTGTTTAAATTACTATCAGCATGATTAGAATTTGTAGTTAGTTGTCTTTTCTGCCCCAAAAATGCTACCTCTGAAGAAAACATCCAAGATGCTGTAGCTGTCCATAGTGCAATCAATTCTTACCTCTTACAAGTAATTGTTAAGATCCATGTGGCTTCTTAGGAGCTCTGGTAGCATAGTGCCTAAGGCACTTGACTGCTAACCAGAAGGCTGGCAGTTCAAACCAACCAGCCACTCCTCGGAAGGAAGGTTGGGCAATCTACTTCCATAGTGAAACTGCCTCAGAAATCCAAGGAGGGGTTGCTTTGAGTCCGGTCCGACTCAACGGTACATAACAAACAACAAGTGGCTTCTTAGCAAAGTATTTCTACTTAGTAAAGTATTTCTACTTCTATGTTTTCTTCTGAGGATCTCTCACATGCCCACCTCAGTAAGGGGCTAGAAATCAAAAGGTTGACTATGAATACACTTCTAAGCAATCCAGTGGTAATATGCAGTTCAACTTCCTAACTTGAGAGGTGAGGCTTAGGAGAGGGGAAAGGAAGATAGGTGGTAGTATAACCAACAGCCAAGAAAGAACCAGAATCTATAGCCTAACCATTTGTAACTCACATTTGCCTTTTTTAAAAAGTAGGTTCTCTCTAGGTAGAGAAGGAATGTGTAGCTTGCAGGGCTTGTTTTGCATATTTCACACAATATCACATAAAATTAGAAAAATTATACTTATAAGTGTACCCTTATTTTTTTCCTCCAGGGGCTTTATGAGAGCACTAAGAAGTAGGACTAATTTCTCTAATTTGGAATTAAACAGTGACCAACTAACCTAATGTCTTTAGAAGCGAATGGATACATCAACCCATGTCACTTTAGTTTTGTGTATTTTCACTGTACATAAATTATATTTCAATTAAATGTATTTTTTTAAGTGAATTGATAAAGAAAATGCAGCGATTTTCCATTTTGATAACTCTTGAAGAGGCTTAAACCAGACCATTTTGTCTTAAAGCACCATTTCATGCTGACACAACTCATTCATATCCTTCAGATAAGGAAAAATTCAGCAGCACACAGATCAAGAACCTTGACTTTGTCTCTAGGTGGTTTAACCACATGTCAGAGCCTCATCTCTGCGGCAGAAGCAGGAATTCTGAGCCTGGGTAGACTAGCTCTCCGGGAAGAGATGAGGCTGGTTTCCCAAGCTGGGGAATGCCTATATAATGTGAGCCTTCATATTTCACTCCCTCAGGAGTTTAGGACAACACCCTTCCCCTAACCTGACAATGGCACTAAAGGCCATTACATACTCTGGCTAGTAACAGCCCTGCCCCAGAAAAAGGGCTCAAAAAAGACTAAATATAAGACAAATGTGCTATTTCCACCTAGAAATCCTTTTCTGAAGAACAAAAAAGAATGAATATATGTCTTATACCAATATAGGCACACAAATTTTAATTCCATCTGCTTTCTTCTTCAAGGTGAGAAGCAACCACTGATTCATCAGGTTTCCTAGAATATACACTGCTACCTAAGGGTTTACTTCGTGCCTTTTAGCATGGAATGGTTGCACGAGGTAGTTGTCACTATGCTAGAACAGAATTAGGGAACATAAAGTAATCAGTGGTAACATGGGAAATTAAATGCATTCAGTTTATGAAAAACACAATTTCCTTTCTTGACACAGCATGTGATACCTCCTTGGAATCGTAAGTCTGGCCAAATCTACATAGCATTATCTTTAAAAAGAAGATGGTTTTTCAAAGAATAATTTTCAATGACTAGAGTGGTTCAGGATCTGAGCATGAAGTATAAAACATGGTGCATTGAGCATGGGGCTTACAGCTGATAGAGGGTTTGGCATCTTACCTGTCACTGTACACCGACCTCTCAAAGACCTGTACCAGCTCCTTGCCCCGTAACGTTTCCTTCGAGAAGGGTTCCAGCTGTACTTTCAGGCGGCTCATAAAGGAAAAAGTCTGGAACGTGTAGGACCATCGTGCTGGCTCCCGGTACATCATATCCAGCAAGTTTCCAACACTTTGGGTAGTACAGGCCTAAAGGGAGATTAGAAAAGAGGAAAATTTCCAAGCAGGAACATTAACTCCATGGTGCACAGCCCCTACCCCTACAGGTATAACAACCGATGAGGACAGCAATTTTAAGTTTTCTTCCACTAAAAAGGTACACTCACACCCCCAAGATTAGTCAAAGTTACTAATTAAGACTTTTCCTGACCTTATTAGACAAGAATGTGATAGAGGAAGGTGATATGCTACCTTCAATATAACAGAAAAGAGCAGAGGGAGAAAGAATTATGCATAGAATAAACACATTCATTCACTGATTGGTTTGGTGAGCCTATGGGGGGAGGCATTAACAATCAACAGCCATCCACAGCCATTTAAAAGGCCACTTTGAATGGAATCTTTCCATTGTAGACTATGTTGCCTTTCTTTTGAGCTTCCATCTGTGGCTACTTCTTTCTCAAATTTCAAGCTAGACAAGAAAGCAACTGTTTATTTGAAAATCCAACCAATCAACCAAACAAATAGGATTCTGTATCTTTCACAGAAGAGCTACAATTTGTTTATTTAAAGGAAAAAAAAAAAAAACCCTCCTTTCATTCTCTAGGCTTTGTGAAATGTATCTGAAGACCCACTTACTGGGCATGCACAGTGAGCATGTGTAGAATTCAGAAGTCCTGAGTTCTAGCTAAGCTTTGCCACTGACTCATTACAAAAGCAGAAGTAACTGCTTTCATGTGCTCAATCGCCATTAAATGAAGGCCTGTAGTGGATTACATGTTACATGGCTAGGTGCTGTTAGGAATACAGAAAATAGAACTAATATTTATTTCAGTTTCACTGTTCTATACTATCTCATTTGATCTTCAAGAGCTTCATGAAATAAGTACTATCACTGTGTTCATTGTGTGGAAAACTTATAAGTAACTTACTTATCCAAAATGTCACGGGAAGTTAAGTGTTGACTAAGGACTCAAACTTGGCTTCCTCTAACCACTTCATTCTAATGCCTCCTCAAATAAACGTGAACAAGACATGGCTCCTGAACTCACGTAGTTCACAATGCAAAAAGGAAGGTGTTATAAAGATATAAGCAGCTAGAATATAAGGTAGAGCATGTGACAAAGTAGTGATTATATTTGGTTGAAGGAATCTCAAGAAGTTTTTGGAAAAAAAGATAGCATTCAGCTGAGAATTAAGTGATGAGTGAAATTCCCACAGATGGAAATGTAAGAGCAGAATTGCTCCAATGCAGTAAACCTAATTAATGAATTCAAAGATCCCTACAGAACACCTTTGGTGGCTAAAGCATTCAACTGCTAACCAAAAAGTCAGTCGTTCAAACCCACCAGCTGCTCCGTGGGAGAAAGATGATGCAGTCTGCTTCCATGAAGAATTACAGCCTTGGAAACACTATGGAGCAGTTCTACATGGAAGCAGAATCAACTCAATGGCAGTGGTCTGGGTCTTTTTGACTTCACAGTCTCCCTAAACTAAGGGGCAGGGGGAAGGCAGAAAATTATGAAAGGAATGAAGACATGCAGGCTACAAGGAGATCCAAAAACACATTGTAAAACAGTGGTAGAGTATTCTATTATTATTATTATTATTTCTTTCCTCTGGAAAGACACATCACTTGTGTTTTAGCTCATAGCAATTAATAAAATTTTGTATCAAACAACTTTCCAAACAAGGAAAGTTGATTTCCTGCAAGTTGAAAGTACCCCTAATTCAGACAAAACTATCTAATCAAGGAAATTATTTTCCTTCCTCACTAGACAAGAGTCCAATACAGTGTGGGAAAATTCCACCCTCAACAAAAAAGGAGATGTGCAGAAAGACCCTACCCACAAGGAGAGTGTCTCTCTCCTCCAATCTCACCACTCCTCACTTCAATCACTGTTCTCACAGGAGTATGTGGTTATCTCCAGGTATAAGGGGGCAGAAAAATAGTTTAAAACCATGGTGTAACAGGAGTTCTAATCAGAGGGAACTGATTACATGGAAAATAAGCTAAAATTAAATAATTTAAGCAAAATCTCTCAGATGTGAGCCATTCCATCAAAGAAATCACTAAGTACCAGAAACAATTTATATACATTTACATATAAAGCAGTTCACAAACACACACGCACAGAGAGCAAGCTGGAGAGAAGCGATTACAACTAGATGTAACCTCACAAAATGTCAACAGTTCGTTCAAACAGACAGATAAGCAAAATATCCTAACAAAGGGGAAAAAACATGAGTTATAAAGAAAAAAGGATCAGAATCACGTAATAGTTCTCTACAACAGAAAATACCTTTCACATTCCAGGGCAAAAGAAAAATATTTTTAGACAAGCACTCCTTTAGGAATTATAGCACCCACATACTCTTTCTGAAGAAATTTTCTCTAGAATGTATTCCAGCCAACTGAAAATTAAATCAAAATAAAGAAATGAGAAAAGTATGATAATGAGAAAACAGTAGTTAGTGATAAACCACTAGAATAAAGTATAAGGTAACTACTGTTGATGTGGTTATGAAGCTGAATGCCAATTTAAGAATTATTGTTAAAAGAGAAATTTCTTAAGGTAAAAAACATTCTGGATCTAAAATTTCAAGTACACCTTATGGGAAGGGTCTAGAAAAGAAGGTAGTAATGAAGTAAAGTTGTTTCTTTCACAGCAATTGCATTAAAACTGATCTTAAAAAAATACATATCATGAGACAACATGTGTGTGAACTGCTGTATGGAAAGTAAATTTGCTCTGTAAACTTTCACCCAAATCACAATTTAAAAAAAAATACAAAAAAACCACCACCTGTTGCCAGTGAGTCAACCCCAACTAATGGCAACTCCATGTATATCAGAGTGGAACTGTGTTCCATAGGGTTTCCAGTGGCTGATTTTTTGGAACCAGATGGCCAGGCCTGTATTCTAAGGCACTTCTGAGTGGATTCAAACCTCTAGCCTTACAGTTAACAGTTGAGTGTCTTAATCATTTGCATTATCCAAGGACTCCCATTAACACTAATGGATAGATATAAACACATTTCTTCCCCCTCTGAATGTCACCCCTGGTAGAATAAAAACAGTAGATGTTGAAGGGGAGAAAAAGGAAGAAATTTGTAAATAGCAAAATAAAAAAAAAAAAAAAGGTAATGAAAATAAATAGAAAGTGCAAGATAAATGTAGCAGGAATAAACTGAACATAAGGGAGCAAAATTCCTATGAAAGGAAAACCTCAAATTAGGTAAAAAATGAAAAATCTTGTTCACAACGAAATGCCTAAAACAAAATAACAGACTGGTTGAAAATAAAGCAACAGCAAAATCTACCGGAGGTGAGAAAGCAGACGTGGCAAAATTATATCCAGAAAACAAGAGCATTAATTGTCCCAAGAATCTACAGTATACTACTACAGAGTCCACAAAGAATGCCTGAAAATTTTTATATGGACAAACTTGTTGTTAAGAGTGCTTTGCTGTCAGTCAATTCCAACTCAAAGCAACCCTATATGACAGAGTAGAACTGCTCCATAGGATATTCTAGGCTGTATAATCTTCAGCATTAATATATACAAATATATAGTGGCGTCAATTAAAAATATAAAAAGAAACTAACAAAACAATGAAAGTATAAAAGTTTAACACACTTCTCTCACAATTTAATGGAGAAACTAGATCCTAAAAATGAATTTGTTGTTGTTGTTAGTGCCGCCAAGTCACCTCCAACTCACAGCGACCCTATGCGTAGCAGAACAAAACACTACCCAGTCCTCTGCCAGCTCTGCCATCCCTGCTATACTTAAGCCCATCATCACAGCCATTGTGTCAATCCATCTCATTGAGGGCCTTTCCCTCTTTCATCAACCCTCTACCTTACCAAGCATGACATACTTCTCCAGGAAATGGTCCCTTCTGACAACATGACCAAAGTAGGTAAGACAAAGTCCGGTCATTCTCGCTTCCAAGGAGCCTTCTAGACACACTTCCTACAGGACAGATTTGTTAGCAGTCTATGGTACTTTCAGCATTCTTCATCAGCACCACAACTCAAATGCATCAATTCTTCTTTGGTCTTCCTTATTCATTGTCCAGCTCTCACATAGTGCATGAGGCAATTGAAACTACCATGGCTTGTGTCAGGAGCACCTTAGTCCTCAAGGAGACATCTTTGCTCCTCAGCATGTGAAAGAAGTCTTTTGCAGCTGACTTGCCCAGTGCTATACATCGTTTGACGCACTGACTGCTGCTTCCACTGGTGTCGACTGTAGAACCAAGCAATGTGAAGTCTTTGACAACTTCCATCTTTCCTCCATTTATTGTGATGCTGCTTATAGGTTCAATTGTGAGGATTTTTGTTTTCTTTATATAGAGATATAATACATACTGCAGACTGTATTCTTCAATCTTCATCAGTAAGTGCTTAGAGTCATCCTCACTTTCAGCAAGCAAAGTTGTGTTGTCAGGGTATCATAGGCTGTTAATGATTTTTCCTCCAATCTTAATGCCATGTTCTTCTTCATACAGGCCAGCTTCTTGGATTATTTGCTCAGCATATAGATTGAATAAGTATGGTGAAAGGACACAACCCTGACACACTCCCTTCTTGATTTTAAACCATGCAGTGTCCCCCTGTTCTGTTCGAATGACAGCCTCCTGGTCTACGTACAGGTTCCTCATGAGTACAATTAAGTGTTCTGGAATTCCCATTCTTCTCAATGTTATCCACAATTTGTTATGATCCACACAATCAAGTGCTTTTGCATAGTCAATAAAACACAAGTAAACATCTTTCTGGTATTCTTAGTTTTCAGTCAAGATCCATCTGACGTCAGCAATGATATCCCTTGTTCCACATCCTCTTCTGAATCCAACTTGCACCTCTGGAAGTTCTCTGTCAATACACTGTTGCAACCATTTTTGAATTATCTTCAGTAAGATTTTACTTGCATGAGATACTAATTATATTGTTCAATAATTTCCACATTCTGTGGGATCACCTTTCTTTGGAATGGGTAAAAATATGGATCTTTTCCAGT